TTGTTGATTTTATTTTTACTTAGATGTTGTATTTAAAAATAAATAAATTTGAAATGTTTGTGATTTTTAATTAAGGGCCCAATCATAAACATAATTGTTACAAGGAATATGAGCTAAAATTGATATAATCATAAAATAGAACACTTTTTAAATACACCGTAAGCCTTCTCTACCTTTAACCGGGATTGAAGACTTACGGGTGGAAATAATTATTGAGTTGTATTCTTATACCATTAAATTGGGTAAACATGCAATAAAATAATTAGGGTTGCCGTTGCTACTAAATAATTACTCCGGATTTATCATTAGCGTGTTAAAGTCGGAGTAGTTATTATTTAGGTGAACTGCGGGAGCGTCCCTGAATACTTTTCTGCAACTCCACACATTCTATATAAAAATAAATTGACAATCCAACTTTTATAAAAACATTGGACAATTAATTTACCAATTTCTACCCCTAACTTTTCAACATCAAAAACTTTGTGTTGTTTGGAACTCTCTTCTTTTACACTTTTTATTTTATCTCTAAAACCAAAAAAACCAAAATATTTTACAACTTCTTTTGTAAACTTTTGTTTAAATTAAATTAACTCGCGTCTCTCTGAGGTTCGACACCCTACTTACAAGGGATTCTTTTTAGTTGTTATTTTTGCCCGTTCTATACTGCAAATCACCCGTCAATGGTGACACTGAAGATGCCGATAGATTCTTGGATAGCATTGGCTTTGGAGCGCCATTCCGGTGTGAGACTCCGCAGGATTTTTCTTACAAGCTCCTTGTCCGTGTACGTCTTCTTGAGAGCATGGAGATCATTAACGATTTTGGAGAATCGTTCAAACATCTCATCGATTTTCTCATTCTCCTTCATAAGAAACAATTCATATTCATGGGTTAGAAAATCTATCTTAGCTTCTCGGATTTGATTCGTACCTTCATATGTGATTTCTAGCTTGTCCCACATTTCCTTGGCGGTGGAACAACAAGAGATCTTCCGGTAGTCATCCGGGTTTACTGCACAATAAAAAATGTTGATAGCCTTGGCGTTGTTCTCTATTTTCTTGATATCCTGCGCATCGTATTCTTCTTTGGTTTTGGGAACGGTGGTTTCCCCAACTTTCTTCATGGGCACTTCTTCGCCATTCTTGATAATTCTCCATAGGAGAAAGTTGTTGGATTGGATGAAAATTCTCATTCGCTCCTTCCAATATGTGTAATTCGTTCCATCAAATAATGAAGGCCTCGTGGTGGATTGCCCTTCTCCTAAACCTGCGTATAAGTTTTGAGTAGAAGCCATTGATCGTTTCTCTCAAACAGTTAAGTCTTTCAGAGAGTAAGGCTCTGATACCAATCGTTAGAATAAAGGCCCAACGCTAGAGGGGGGGTGAATAGCGTTTGAAATAAAATCGCAGGAAATTAAAAACGAGTGCGTTGAAGTAAAGAGCGTAAGGAAGGAGCACACCGAATTTTATCCTGGTTCACCACAATGTGTGGCTAATCCAGCCCCCCGAGAGACTCTCTCGAGCTACACTAACTCCGTTAAGATTAAGGATGCTTAACAAACCGATACAACTTGAGAACCCGAGTAACACGAGCCTCAACACCTTTGCTCGGAGATACCGCACTCCAAGACTTCTCACAAAGGAACAAGGAACTTCCTTCGAGTTTACAACAAGGGAACAACCTCCCTTAAAGTGTATCAAAACACTTAAACACTCACGAATAAAACTCTCACAAAGAGTAGATATTAGTGAACTATTAAACGCTCAAGAACACGACAATTTCTTCAAGAATTGGCTCTCAAATAGCTAAGAAAAATAGGAATGCTTATGCAATGAAGGAGTATTGAAATGTTGAAGAATTGTGTGTAAAACGAGAGGATTTGGGTGCCATTTTATAGCCCCCGGCGTACTCCATTGCTAGAGTTTCCAACAGGATGAAGACAAATTTTTCAGAGACACAGGGTGATAGTCGATTGTCAAAGCTTGATAATCGATTATCCAAAGATTCCCGGTCCAAAAATTTAAAATTCTATCCGTTGGATGACAACGGTAACCCAAATAATCGATTGTCAACAAGTGATAATCGATTATTTGTCCTCTCAGAAGATTCTGGGTTTTGGCTGCAAAGACTGATAATCGATTATCGCAAAGCTGATAATTGATTATTGCGTGCTTCAAAACTTTGGAAGTTCAAAGCTGCAGGGGCTGATAGTCGATTGTCACTAAGGTGATAATGCTAATAGTGGGTCGATTTCAGATCGGTCGACTTTGGGCAAAACTTTTTGGCTCCAGGTTTTTGCTTCACAAGGGTTTTCATTTTTGGTCCAAACCTTTTATAACATATACCATATTTTATCACAAAACAAGACTTGTTTGGTAAAAACCAAGTCTCCAAGGTCGTATAATACGTGCGTACGGTTTAGACCGTTTTTCATGTGTTAGACCGATTGACCAAGGTACAAAAGTGGTTTTTATAAAATAATTATTTGGGAACATTTTAAAAATTCTCAGAAGTAAAAATAGGGTTTAAAATATTGAAAACCACGGAGTTGGTTCGGGCGCCAAAAACCGAACGCCGAAAGCCGAACGTCGAAAGCCGAACGCCGACTTAGGCGGTTTCAGTTCTGAGCAAGGACCAGGGATTTTAACAATAAAAGAAATCATCAAAAAAATGTTTGTTTTGATGCACAAAAAATATTTTATGATTTGTAAAAATTGTTTTGACTTTTTGAGAATCGAGACTTGAATTTATTGTCGGTTTTGATCACAAAAGACCGACTCGACTAAGTCTTTAATTCTTGATCTTGTCCTCCGGACTATGAAGTCGTGGACCTTTTCTCCTTTGCGGATGCATATGTTGAGCAGGTGGGAGTAAGGCAGCCTCTGCCTTCGGTTGGCCGCGAAATGCGTATCCCAATCGTCAATAGTTCCCTTTGGGAGCCGGTTGAACCAATCGCACGCGGAGCCCTCTAGCGTCGCGAGGAAGCACCTGCACTTGACCTCGTCCGGGGCTGCCGCCGCCTCCATCGAAGCATAGAACTTTGAAAAATGATCCCGGGGGTTCGTCGTCCCGCTGTAAGCCTTGATCTGCCACGGACGAAAGTTTGTCGGCAGCGGAACTGACATCACCCTCGGAGTAAACGGGGTTACCGTGCGCAAGATGGGCTGGCTGTAGGGGGAGTTTGTCTCTACTCGGCGTTTGAGCTCGGCAATCTCGCGCGCAAGCTCAGTCATACCCTGTTCAGGGATTTTTGTCTTCTCGGTTCTCGTTGGGCTCTGGCGACGCTGAGTCCGCTCGTGCGTTCGGCCTTCGGTTCGCTCAGGTCTCGCCGAGCGCGCATCCGAGTTCGCTGATTCCTCAGCGTTCCTCCACCTGGCTTCGGAGATCTGCCGGCGAAGATCACCTTGGCGGCCTTCTGGTCCGCAGTTGAGCCGGTCGAATGCCGACACTCGGGTCTCCTCGCCTCCCAAGCGTTTGAAGGCCGAGACTCTACACTCACTGGACTCATCGTCCTCACCTTCTGGGACGTCCTCCACCAACACCTCCTCGATCACCGGGTCCTTTCCGGGCCTCCTCCTGCTCCTCCGAGTCTTCTTCCCCTTGTGCTGGGAAGTGGCAGCGTGCTCAGTGTGGTGACCGAGCGGAGCTTTGCCAGCCCCGGCGCCGGGCACGTTCCCACCCATGGCGGAAAGTGCCGCAACGGCCGCCTGGAGCTGCTCCGTGGTCACCCCCAACCCGAACAGCGCCTGGACCGCGTCCGGAGTCGAAGCGATGCCACCCGTGCCGTTGCCGCTGCCCGGAGCGATCTCCTCGCCGCCGACGTGGCTGGTGGTGGGAATGTTGCTCCTCATTTGCACCATTCTCGCGTTGAGGAGTTAACCTACGAGTATGTTCCTCAGCTCTCAATGAAAGCACCAATGTGATGGTCGTAAACCACCAAGAATAGAGAATAATATAAGTTTTAGAGAGAGAGAAAGAGAGCGTGCAAAGTAGGAGTTTATTCGTTCTAAACTTGGATCCATTACAATGAGGGGTCTCACCCTTTTTATAGGGGATACAATACACATAGTCAAAGTTTCTCTGATCGAGGTTCGTCGCCTAGCGGACGTCATCCCTGTTATGCATTGTCTTTTTCATCCCGTCGCGTAGTCAACGTGGTCGGTCGCTATCCGGCGGTCGCTATCACGGCCCCCAGCCGAGCTCGCAGGCCGAGCCGAGCCCATAGGGCGAGCCGAGCACATGGGCCGAGTAGAGAAGATCCTCCACGTGGCTGATGGGGCCCGGATGACATGCCTTTTGGAGTCGCCCTCCATTAAGTAGCGTAATCTTTTCGCCACACCGGGCTTTGCCTCATTCGTGAACTCCTACGTACCTCGAGTACATCTTCCTCTCGCCTGCCTACGGTCTCTTCTAGACCCGTGTACGTTGCCTCCATATCATCCCTCGCATCATCCCACAAAGTGTTGTCCGAGAGCCCCGTTGTCTGATTTGTCATAACAGATCATTGAGGAAGTCACGTGATTTTTCTTAATTGAGGTGTTATGTTGCTTCTCGTTATTGGTTATCTTCCAAGAACATTTTTACATTATATTTGTACTTTCTATAACTTTTTGATCACTTTCATGATAGAAAACCATGGTCTAAATCCTTTTGAGTACTCGATGAAGTAGCATTTCTCAAACCTCGCTTCTAACATAGTCACATGACTACTCATCACATAAGTTTAACATCCCCAAAACGTGTATATGAACAAGGTAGAGAATATGTAACCCCAAAATTAAAGAATACTAGTAGGGTTGCAAGACTCATTATTTAATTATCTTACAATATCAAAGAAACAAAGAAAGAAAACAAAGCAAACAAGAAAGCAACGACAAAGAGCAAACGAAAAAAAGAAGAAGCAAAAAACAGCCGTGAAAGACCAGATGGTGAACACACCCATCACGGCCATAGGGGAGGCGGGGGTGTTTCCGCAATCACGGTCCTAGGTTGCACTTGGGATGGCCTGTCACGGCTCCCACACCCACGGTGTTGGAAAAAAATTACACACAATATGTATAGAAAAATAAAAAAAGTTAACACACAATATTCTTAACGTGAAACCCTTCTCAACTAAGAGAAAAAAAACTATGATTCCCTCCGATTAAACTTTCCACTATAATACTCCCTCCGTCTCGGAAAACATAGAAGTTTTGATTTTGAAGAAGGATTTAAGAGGAGTGTAATTTGGTATTGAATTTCCAAAAATGTCCTTTGATGTGATGGGTAAAATATGATTTGATGGATAAATTATTAGTAAAAATGTATGATGTGATAGGTAGGTATGAAAAAGTAGGGGATAAAAATGGTTTTTTAATAGAAATGAGAAGTGTTTTTTAATACGGATGAGAAAAAAAGAAGAAAGGTGTTCAGGGACGGAGGGAGTATCAATTAGAATACATCAACCTCTCAACAATGCATTAACACACAATATTTGGAGGCTACATCTCGGCCTCTCTCTTTAAGAGCACTGGAAATACGTTTGAAGCCCCGGGGCTTCAAAACTTCTCTCTCTGCCACGTCAGCTTTAACTTAACTCACAGATTCACTGGAAATGGGTTTCAAGCACTGAGGCTTCAAACTGGAGCTTCAAACCTTCATTTTTTACAATTTAAATATACATCTTCTAAAACTAAATTAATAAAATGTAATTGATTTATTATTTAATTATATTGAAACACGAATAATAAAAAAGGGCAAGGTTCCCATGACATTGGGAACCAATGTCATGGGATGACCCGGGGGCGCTCCGGTGCCCCATTCGTAAAATTGACGGTTCCTACCCCCTTAACCCCCTCGATAAACCCCCCCACCCCGCCCCGACCCGAACGCACCCCCCCACCCCCTTCAATTGCACCCCACAAGTTGATTTTGACTTTGGAGTCAAATTTTGACTCCAAAGTCAAAATCAACTTGTGGGGTGCAATTGAAGGGGGTGGGTGGGTGCGTTCGGGTCGGGGCGGGGTGGGGGGGTTTATCGAGGGGGTTAGGGGGGGTAGGAACCGTCAATTTTACGAACGGGGCACCGGAGCGCCCCCGGGTCATCCCATGACATTGGTTCCCAATGTCATGGGAACCAAGGTGAATAAAAAAATACATTTATTAAATTTAAAGAAATTGAAACGACAATAATTTAAAATTTAAAAAATTACATTCATTAAAATAATAAAACGAAAATAATAAAAAAGATACATTAATAAAAAAACTAAGGTAAATTATATTTTGCCTTGATCTCTCTTTGTCTTTGCTCATAGATCATCCGTTTGAAACCCGATAACGTAGAAAGGTCGGTTTCCATGATTTTGATCTCGTCCTCCTGCTCCTTTCGCTTCATCTCCTTCTCCTTTAGCTTCATCCTCTCTTCTTCTCGAAGATTGAACACCCGAAGTTGTTCAACCATTGCCCGACCGATTTCGTCGCGAGAAGAAACGGAAACAGAGCCAGACCCTCTCGAACCTGAGGCAATGGATTTTGCCTTCTTTCTTCTGATCGGCCGTGGAATGGGGTCCTTGTCATCGGAATCTGCAACGTTGAAGGGAGGCATTTGATCGGACGAACCGATAGTGTCGTCGACCTCAACCTCGGCATCGACGGAGGATCTTTTCTTTGACGATCCTCCGTCGGGATTGTTGAGTTGTTGCCACTTCGGGGAACGGCTCAAAATCCTCCAAAGATCGATGGGCACCTTGCCTTGGTGCCCGTCATCTTGATACTGGGTCGTGGCAAGCCGGAGAACATCGGCATCGTTCGTCCCACTCCTCCGAGACCGGGCGCATTCCTCGTAAACTCCGATAAACTTTCGGACTTTACGGTTGATGTGGCTCCATTTGGAAGTGAGTTGGTCCCGGGTACGGTAGGAGCCATCCTTGTTCATCGTCGTGAAGAACTTCTCCTCGATACAATCCCACATCGCATCATTCGTTTGCTTTGAACCTTTAAAAAAGTATAACACAAATTTTTTTTATGACACGATTAAATATAATTTTATATAAATAAAAACATAAATATATTAAAAAAACATATAATTTTTACCAATGATATGATGCTCGGAGACGTCAACCCAAGCCGACGCCAATAAGCACTCCTCCTCCGGCGTCCACTTTTGGATTGACCGTGCCGTCTCGGTCATCGTGCCTTTTGCTTTGTGGTTTTTCGAGCGTGTACCTTTTTTTGGAGCCGGCTGGTTCTGGTTGAGTCTCTGGAACCGAATCTCGCTCGACGTATCCCGATTGTTGCGTCTCGAACATCGGCGGATGATTCCCGAATTCTTGGAAATACCACATCGCGGCATCGTGAGGCTCGAGATTGTCGGGAAAGAAGCCGGAGCCGGAATGATTCATGTTCAAAAGAGAGGGGGGAGTTTGAAATTGAAGAATGTGTGAAAAAGATTGAAGAAGATTGAAGGTGTGCGAATGAGAGGGGGGAGTTTGAAATTTATATAAAAAAAATAAATTAATTTTTCTTTTTTTGTTTACAACGGCTAAATTAACCGTTAGTGGGGAGGGGGAGTTGCATCAAACGAGTGACGCCGAACGAGTGACGCCCGGATGAAGCCGATGGGGGGCGGTGTTTAACGCCCCCGGCGTTAAAACCGGCGATCACGCCGGTGGGCGTGATGCCCATTACGAGTGACCTAACCCCACACAATAGAGGAGGAGTACTCCTTTTTAAAGTACACAAGGCCCTTCAAAAACACTCAGCCCAAAGGCCATCAGAGCCGTCCAAGTGAAATGCACCAAAAGAATAGATTCAATATATGTGCTTCAAATGCATGCATGCCGCAAGTGTTTCATTCCTTTGTTTTATCTTTTACTCTTTCATTTATTTTATTTTTTTCTCTCTCCAAAAATAAAATGAACTCCAACATAATTCATATGGATTATGTTATGTGTACCCCAAGGTTTGTACCCCAATTTGTACCCACAGTTTTGCACCAACACTTTGTGTTGGTGTAAAACTAATTTTTGTTAAACGCACCAACATTTGTGTCCGTGTGAATTTTTATTAACGCACCAACACTTGTGTCGGTGTAAACCATCGAAATGTTTGTGCAAACCTGTGGTGTACAAATGGGGTATATTTTTTGGTGTAAGTGTAGCATGGTCCAATTCATATTCATATTTGATAAACAGATAGCTATCTCAACAAATTATCCCTTTGACATAATTTACCAAATATTTCAATTAACATAATCAATACTCCCTCCGTCTCGGAGTATTAGTCCACTTTTAACTTTTGGAACTGTTCATCTAAGCACTTTGACTCATCAAATTCTATCAATGTGTAAGCCTAAATAGAGTCATGTGTGATCTTGTTTGATTTGTCTTAACATATAGATTATTAATATATAATTTCAATAATTTTTTAATATACAAATTACAAGATAAAATGGATTAAAGAAGTGTATTAGATGGTGTGTAAAAATGAAAGTGAACAAATACTCTGGGGACGGACTACGGAGGTAGTATTTGTTAAGTGGAGAGACATTATTCCAATACACGGCCTAACGCGAATAGAGGAAAATGTGAGCACTTTCCGCTGATATTATGGCTTTTTCGTTTTGTACACAATTTTTCAAAGAGGCTTTGTTGAAAGAAGTTTTTTTAGGTAAATAATTGACCAAACAATTTTTTTCCTTAATGTCAAAAAATAGTAAAATATTTCCCATTTTCTGAAACAATTCATTCCTATTTCTCTCTTTAAATGTAAGAGATTATATTCGCTCTAAAAATAATCTCTCCTAAACAAGTTTCATTCACATTTTTTCACTTTCCAATGTTTTAGGGACTATTAAAGTGTTTCACACATTTTTTCACTTTCCAATGTTTTTCTTAAATCTTGTAAAATCAAACACCTAAGTTCTATTCAAGACGGAGGGAGGGAGTATTAAAAGTGTTTGATGAGTAGATTTTTAGAACATTATTAAGTTTTTTTTAAAAAACAGTTATCCTAAGTACCTGACACAACTTTGACCCGAAAATTGGTTCAAATTTCAAACAAACACAAACATAGATAACAAGGACACAAATCACACGATCTGCTAACCCATTCGCTGGGGTAAAAAATCCGAGCTGAGCTATCTTCAAGGAGATTCCTGCAAGTTTGTTAGGAATGTTGGGCTTGACGACCAATAAAAAAACATGAGTATATTGATATCAATAAATCGTTCAAACAGGTAAAATGTAGTGCCCATCAAAACAGGAGTAGGGCTTTTAACTTAGACAGTAGACTGCAACAGAGACAACCTCCTCCACTGGGGAGGATATGAAATTGAAACTAAAATAAGAAAAATCAAAATAAAAAAAAAGAATATCAGCTAATAGAGCATAGCATATATAGTATATAAGGTGTGTGGGTGCGTGGGTGGGTGCGTCTAAGCAACGGCTGGCATGTCCTTGAGCCAAGCATCCAATGGCTTACCAATTGAGTAGACGATAAACCCAATCTCTCTCAGCTTCTCCGCATTCACCACATTCCTACCGTCAAAAACAAAAGCAGGTTTTTGCATGTTCTCATATATCCTGGTGTAGTCCAGGTTCTTGAATTCGTCCCACTCTGTAAGAATGCACAGGCCGTGAGCGTCTTTGGTTGCCTCGTACGCATCCCAAACTACAGAAACTTTCTTCACCATGGATGGGCTCATGGGCTGGAGGTGAAGGGGGTGATCCCAGTCAAACTTGTTCATCGACAGGTCTCTTTGGATCTGGTCCTCGCTCACCTGAGGGTCATAGATGCTCAACACAGCATTGTCGCCCATCAGTCCCTTGCAGACATCAATTGCGGGGGTCTCCCTGGTGTCGCCCGTGTCCTTCTTGAAAGCGAATCCGAGAATGGCGATTTTCTTGTTTGACACGGTGTTGAACATGGACGCGACAACACGGTTGACAAAACGGCTCTTCTGGTAGTCATTGATCTTGATTACTTGCTTCCAGTATTCTGCCACCTCAGGGAGGCCATTGCATTCGCAAATGTAAACAAGGTTCAGAATGTCCTTTTGAAAGCACGAGCCGCCAAAGCCAACACTGGCGTTCAAGAATTTGGGACCAATCCTTGTGTCCTTACCCACGGCGTATGAGACCTGGGTAACATCTGCTCCAGTGGCTTCACAGAGAGCTGACATGGCATTGACAGAAGATATTCTCTGGGCCAAGAATGCATTGGCAGCCAGTTTTGATAGCTCGGCAGACCATAAATTGGTCGTCAAGATGCAATCTTCAGGGACCCAACGGGCGTAGACGTCCTTGAGTGCCTGGACTGCCTTGTTGCCTTCTGGGGTCTCCCGACCACCGATGAGTACCCTGTCGGGTTTAAAAAGGTCTTGGATGGCTGTTCCCTCTGCAAGAAATTCCGGGTTCGAGAGGATCTGGAAGTTAATTCCTTTGCTGTTGTGGGTCAAAATCTTTTCAATAGCCTCAGCAGTTTTCACCGGGACAGTTGATTTCTCCACAACTATTTTGTCAGATTTTGAAACATCGGCAATCATGCGAGCGGCACTCTCCCAGTAAGTCAAATCTGCAGCTTTGCCTGCTCCAAGACCTCGAGTCTTGGTAGGAGTATTGACAGAAACAAAGACTATGTCCGCCTCCCTCACATACTTCTCCACATCTGTGCTGAAGAAGAGGTTCCTGCCACGGGACTCCTTCACTACGTCATCAAGGCCTGGTTCATAGATGGGTAGCTGGTCGCTGTTCCATGCGTTGATCCGAGGCGCAGAAATATCAACCACAGCCACTTCAATGTCTGGGCACTTCAGTGCTATCACAGCCATGGTGGGGCCTCCGACATATCCAGCACCAATGCAGCAGATCTTCACCATTTTCGTTCTGCAAATTCAAAGTGATTGAAAGATAGGTATGGAATATGAATTTATTAATTTCGTATACTGCTCGCTGTAAAAGATATAAAGATTAAATATTGAATGCTTCGATGAAAACATATAGCAAGATCTGCAATCGTTGTTGGTTACAGTTCACATATTTTCCTGGAGATCTAACCCGTTTGGTGAGCGTAGGAGATGGGTTTTCAAATCTCCCGATATCAATTTTTTTTGTGCTTGGTGAGGCATAAAAAGAATACAAATTCGATATCTCTAGATATCACAAATCCTCGATATCTTCCGAATTTGAGAGATATCAATGTGAGGATTTGATATCTCTCTCAACCGTTGATCATCCCCCGCCAATCACTAACTAAATCGTGATTTTAAAACTCTCCAAACAACTTCATTTCAGATTTAGAAACCTATACTATTTTTCCCAGATTTCAAAATCCATATCATATCATATCTCCAAAACTCACCAAACACATAAATATCATTAATTGATAGAACTCCCATCTTTGAATAACCAACAAAGGCCAAAGATCTAGTTATAACTATATGTTTTTCTATAACATGCAGAATAAAGACGCAACCAAATGTTAGATCTACAGATACACGCTCAGTCACACACAAAACTGATCATGCACCACTGACAAAAACTCAATGCTTTCCAAACTGTCAGCAAAAACAAATGAAAACAGTAATCAAACCAGACAAAATTTCAGACTATTAATGCTGCTTTAGATGAGCAATGCTGGTGTGATCGCATCAGAATGTAGACTTACCTGCATTGCCAAAAGCACAAACGATCACAACTTATACAATCATAAGATTTCATCACATAAACACGAAGATCAATGCTGAAGCATCAAAATTGCTGACAAGCCGCAACCAGATCTAGAATCATTTCACTAAGTTAAAAAAAAATCCCCACAAAAAAAGAAACAAAAATGCATCATTTTCATAGCGACAGAGGTTCTAGATCTAACAGCCCCTGCCGAAGAAATGCAGATCTAACGAAATTCTACAGCTCCAGTTCACGATCAGGCAACCGACACAAAGATGAACGACAAAATATCAATAGAAACGGACAAAATGCGGTTCCGATTGCGGTTAAAAACAAGGAAAAAATGCGCTTTGATCGAATAGGGCGAGAGAAAAAAGTGATCGGCGACCCATACCAAAGATCAATGTCAATTGAATCACACAAATTTAGACACTAATTGGATACATATCAGGCAACTGCAGAGAAAATGAAGGTGGAGCTAGAGAAAGCACCTCTGGGATTCGCTGCTTCGGATGAGAATGGAAGGGGAAAAAGAAGAGGCAAGTGTAGGAGATGGATGGGAAGATGCAAGGCAGAAGAGCTACATGGGCGGGGAGCTCCTTAAATAGTCGTTGCGGATCTAAGATCTATTGGTCTCGTTGCCTCTTATTAACTCTAATCCACCAAAAGGTAGCTTTCAGACTTCGCTTGTAAAACCAGAAAAAAAAATCCACTCCAATTTCTAAGGCATAATAATGACGATAACAAAATTCCTTTTCTGCCAAATTTTGTTACCAGTACTTTACACCCCGTAATTCCTTTAATCACATTCTTTGACGACTACTTTAGAAATGTAACCCCCATGATTTTGCGAGATTTTAATATCTTTTACTAAAAAAATAAAATTACATTTTCACAAATCACATATTATGTATATATATAACTAAAGAAATAATGCAAGTTCTTATTTATCCAGTAGCAGATACAGAAATTCAGATAGTTAGAGAGATCGTTGGTTGGTCGGGGACAATATCCGTGCATTTTTTAATACTTAACATCAAATGATAAAAAATTATGATTTTTATTTTAAATTTTTTTTAATAGGAACAATGGAATGATATTTTATAAGTAACTAATTATATGCAATGAAATATAAAACATAAACAAAAATTAAAATTAAAATTTGACCTAATTAGACAGGGTCTCCGTAATTTAGCCATACATATGAAGTACAAAATGTAATACTTTGAACATGAATATCAATATTTATATATATTTATAATTTATAAATTTTAATATTTCAAAATCACATTTCAAAAAAACTATTGATATCATATTTATAACGATTTCATTCGAATGTTTACAAAAATACACCACTTTCATCCTTGAATATTTGTATAATTTTGACTTTTTATAGTTAAAGTAAATTTTGATAAAGGATAAAATTGATATTAGATATTGATAAAATATTATTGTACCTAATTAGCATCCCATATAATTTATAAACACTCCATTCTAATTTAAAGCTCCTAGTTTGACTTTGCACTGTGTTTAAAAAAGTATAATTATGTGTTAAAAATGATGCTGAAGAGAGAGAAAAAACCTAAGCCTGGAAAAGCTTACTAGAAAAGGAAATGGGAAAATTAATTTGAGACAACTTAAAAAGGAACTGAGGAATACTTAGTGATAGGTCAAATGTTGAATGTGCTTGATCATAAAATGTCAAAACTGGGAAAATATGGACAAAAGTAGTACTTACGAATGTAAATCACCCTAAATAGGACTAAAATATAAAGAAAAATATCAAAACAAGATTTTCATTTTTTTTCTCCAAAATAAGACTTCGCACTGTTGTGATGTGACAGTATACATGTGCACATTACTATACTTTTTGGTAATGTACATGACCATGTTTGGTAATATTTTAGTTCTATTATGGTCTTTCTCCCTATTTCCAAATTTTCTTCTCATTTTTTATTTTGAGTTATTCTAAATTTTCTTTAGAAATCATCCTAAATATGACTAAAGCATAGAAAAAAGTACCAAAATAGGACTTTCATGTTTTTTTTCTCGGAATAGGACTTTGCACTGTGGTAATGTGACTTTGCATTGTGGTAATGTGGCAGTGTACATATGCAAATTACTATACTTTTTTGGTAATGTATATGACCATGTTTGGTAATGTAAGTCCTATTTCGGGAATAAAAATATGGAAGTCCTATTTTAGTATATTTTCAATGTTTTAGTCCTAGTTTGGTCTTTCTCCCTTTTATTAACTTATTGAGAAAATAAAATATCCTTATCGTCTATTTGTTTATAAAACTTTTGATGTCATTTTTCAAGTATATATATACTTTTTAATTTATATTTCTATGCTAATGTATAAATAAAACCATTTCGAAAATTCTTAGGTTTTGCGCGTTGCAAAGGACCATAGCCACCCAAACTCTCACACTCGTCAATTCTGGCGCCTGAACGTCGTCGACGTCGGCCACTCCACCACCCTCCTAAATCTTTGTTAAAGCCTAAATCTTTGTTGAAGCCCAACCCGGGACCCTCAATCGCAAATGCCACTCAACGCCACCCCTCCTCAGTCAGTGCTGCCTTTCAGTCCCTTATTCGCCGCCGTTGTCTGCCATCGCCCGCCTCCCAAATCTCTGCCAACCGGCCAACAGAAAAAACATCTGGAAATTTTCCTAGGGGCATTAGAAATCATTCTAAATAAGACTAAAACATAGATAAAAGTACCAAAATAAGACTTTCATGTTTTTTTCCCGGAATAAGACTTTGCACTGTGATAATATGACTTTGCATTGTGGTAACGTGACAGTGTACATGTGCAAATTATTATACTTTTTTGGTAATGTATATGACCATGTATGATAATGTAAGTACTATTTCGGGAATAAAAACATGGAAGTCCTATTTTGGTATATTTTCAATGTATTAGTCTTAGTTTGGTCTTTCTCCCAAGGGGCATGCTAGGGTACACCAAAATGGAGCACCCCATTTGTACATGGTAAACACAGATAAATACAGACACTTAGTGTCCCAAGACACTAACACTATGTTTGGTTTAAAGAATTAGGAAGAAATAGAAAAAGAAAATGATTTCTCTCATTTTCCTTACCAAAATGAAAGGAATTTGGTTTTCCTTCCTCTTAGTATATTTTACCTTTTTATTTTCTTTTTCATCCACTTTTTTCTTTTCTTTTTCTCTCTAACCAAACAAGAAAAAACTATTTTCCATCTTAATATCTTTTCTTTTCCCTCTCAAATTCCGTGAACCAAACATAGTGTAAGTTTGTGTGTTTGTCTGTATTGCCTGATGTACAAATGGGGTACCCAATTTCGGTGTACCCCTAGGTTTATTTATTTGAAAATCCAATGCTTCATGTGTTGAAGTAGAAGAAATTCAGGGGTGTTAGACAACAACATTGGCCCTGTTTGGCATCAGCGTCAGAGATTGGCGTTAGAGTTTTGAAAAAGCTATCTGACGGTAGCCTTTAGCGTTAGCGTTTTCAGAATTAATCTGCACCGTTAAAATTTTATCCAAAACGCTAACGCTAATCGAAAACGCTGTTACCAAACAAAGCCATTATGTATTCCTATTTATGGTAGATGTTATATTTTAGTTAGTTTTCATTTTCAATTTCTAGTTGTGCTAGAAGTCTCTTATGTATATATACTCTATCATGTAGTTCATAATTCAATGAGTAGTATTATTATTTCAATATTCCAACATAGTATAAGAGCTACTGATCTTGGTGACCTATCTAAATTCCTCTGCTTTTGCTCCTGGACAACTAATAAATCACAATATTGTGGTTGTCACTCTGTTTTCCTGTAAGAAAATATATATTGTCATTGGGAATGGTTGAAGCTGCAACAAAAACTAAATCTATTCCATCAAACAAAATGTCTGATGAGAGAGAAAAAGATGGACACGTATGCCGATGCAGAAAGAAGAAAATCATGGAGCAAAATTGAAAGACCAACACAGACACAGGCAGTATTCAAAAGTTGGTGTTCCATGCAAAAGTTTCTGTGTTGAATTATGATTAGATGCATGCATTCAATTCATTTAGAAGTGTTGAACTTGTCTGGAAACAAGTCTTTTTTTTNGGGGTAAAATATAAATAATTGCATTACTAACAAAAAGTGAATACAAGGAATGTCAAAGCTTACCCCTATCAATTGACAAGAACAAGGGCAGAATACACAGGCCCAGCTAATAAAATCAAAACCCAAAATGAGAAGGATTAAAGAAACAAGCTTTTTTAAATAATAAAATGTGCATATCTCCAATGACTTTTTAACCTATTTATGGTGTTCAAAAAGATATGTTTCCACTTCCCTGGTAAAAGAATATTAAAACCCTTAAAATGACCTCTTGGTTCCAATTTCCAACCTTTATCATGGAGTTTTTTATTTATAGTATGTGATATTAGTACAATTATACTATCAGAGCATCCATACCACCAAATAACCTTAGTAGTGACTAAAGTACATTGAAGCTGCACTACTGACAGTAAGTTGCAAGAGATCTATCTATATTGCTCATTGTTGGTTTTCTGCATCAGGAAGGTGAAAGTATTATAAATTCGCCATACCAGGGTAATGGGGTAATAACTGGATTGCAATTAACAAGGACCACATAAGTTTCACGACAGATAGTGAAAACAGAAGACATCGCCAAACCTCTCAAATTTGATCACAAATCTGCCCTGGCATTTGTCATTGGCTCCCAGTGATGCTTCTCATTATCATCAAGAGACTTCAACCTTACTTTGGTTATTGTGGAAGGAAGGCCTAACTTGACGAGTTGACGTATATAGAAAACGCTTACATTGCATGCACCTTTTACAATAAGTAAAACAAACTCTTAGAAACTGACCCAGAAAATTAGCAAAAAAGTGTAAAAAAAAATGAACTAGCAAATCATTCTATACACAAATAGTTTCCTCAATACTCATAATGGTGGTAAAACAATAAGTTAGACTGATCAAACAGAAATTTCTAATGCGGTTAAGAAGAAAAAGAACAAAGAGATGGTTAAAAAACAGTACGGGCATTACAGTACTAGATCTGCCAAAAACAGCATAAAAGGAAATAGAAAAAAAGATGTCCTTGAGTGTAGTCCTACAAGACCAGCATACGATAATCAGATACATATAAAAACCTAGGTTACAGCTTCACAAGCCACAGACACAACACTAGTAGCACAAAATGGCAGGGCCGCAGGGGAATATAACATGTGTTGTAAATTGTAATATACAATTATACATAGAAAAACTTCTTTTATTTTGTAAAACTGCTGCTCAGTCATGGGTTCCAACATTTCTTAGGTTTCAGATACCATTACCAGAAAAGTAGTATGCATTGAATGCAAGTGGAAAATACATGTTCAGTGAAGAAAAGGCTATAGGCCACACATGTTTATCTGTGAAGAGAGACGACAAGAGGGATAATGAACAGACTACTAGAAGATATACGACTACAGCGCAATATTTGCAAATATAGCAATGATTATGTTAAAGGTTGAACTGCTTAGGACAAGATAACCACGCGATGTGAGTATGCGAACCCAACGCAACTTGCCGTGGTAACCAACACCACCAGTGCATGCTTCAATCATAAGATTTTCTGGAACAAGCAAGTTATGACTTTTGCACCTCCACACAATCCACCGTAGCAACACGAGAGGGTGATTTTACTAAGTAATTAAAATTAGTATTTTATCTTAACTACTCCCTTCGTCTCATAAAAACTTCTCGCTTTGATTTTAAAGGAGATTCAGGAAGTTAAAGAGAAACAATGAAGATTGAAAAAAGATGTGGTTAGAATTGGTTAAAAGGAGAGAAATTTCTTAGCCATAAATTCTGTACTTTAAAAGGAAAAGGAAGTTTTTTTGGGATGGACGAAAAAGAAATGTAAGAAGATTTTTATGGCAGGAGGGAGCATATAACAAACTCACAAGTAAATCTGAAACTCTCATAAGTTTCACAACCACAAGGGTCAAGACAAAGCACACAATATTTCATTCAAATTCAAGATGTTAATTAGAAAGGATTACATGCCTATTTATATGCAAAACCACATAAATGAAAATATCAAATTCTATTAAAATTATCTTTAGTAAAATCTAATCAGATCCGAATAAATAAAACTTATCAAATTAAACATTTGAAAATATCACTCTTGTTTAAAATCACCGAATATGTTAAAACATTATATGGAATGTTTTGGATTTGATTTGGTGTAAAAAGGTTTAATTGTAATTACTAAAACTAATTATGTTTGGAAAATGCAAGGTAATTGTTCCAAAACCCCACCACCATAACCGCCACCAGCGCCTGTTTTGTGATGTGCTGGAACTGGACTTCCGACTCTTGTGATGCTACGGGCTTTCTGCCTTATACGAGTGCCGGTTTGGGGGTGAACTAGCACCGGTTTTCATTTACACCCCGATGAGTTTCTGTATTTCAGCCTGAATGGCTTTAGGGCTGTTTGGATTGGACCTTGTACCACTGGATTGATTCCCGGAGGTCCGTTGTGTTTCCTACGTGATGCATCCACAATTAACCAATTAGGGGTGAGCATGGTACGGTATTTAGCTCGTACCAATACCGTACCAAATATTTCGGTTCGGTATGGGATTTTACGTCGTACCAATCCAATCCCGAAATATCGGTTTGGTATTGGTTTCAGTACAAATCGGGATGAATACATACATACCTATTTTATACGGAGTTCTTTAAAATGTAACAAAACCTCTTTATTTTTGAAATGAATACATGCATACCTAGTTCATTTACACCCCGATAACTTTCCTTATTTCCGCCTGGATGGCTTTTGGGCTGTTTGGATTGACCTTGTACCCCTAGTTTAATTCCCGGAGGTCCGTTTTTGTGTTCAGTACCTGATGTCCCGCAATCATCCAAAATATTGCAAAAAAGTATTTCACCTAGTCAGACATCATTCTCCCGGAAAAAGAAAATTAACGAGCTTTTGTGGATCATATCCCCACACAAAAAAAGAAAAAAATGTTCGGACTTCGGAAAAAAATGAGGAAACCCCCCCTCCAGATTTGTTTACCAGCAATGTCATAAGGTTTTGTTCATCAATTTACATAATTTTTTCCGGAACTCAACTTAGTCATACACTGCATTCTCTAGCCCCTAATTGCTTAGTGCCAAGACCTTTCCTCCCCCTTTCAGTTATATATACGAAGAACAGTAATGATGTCCGTCTAGAGCAGAAAGAACTAATTTCATACAGTACATCAGGTACCTGTTATCTCCTGAGATCTTTTGGTAAGTTCTGCAGCATTAGAGCCCTTGTTTTACAATTAGCTTTTATACCACTATGACGCATTTTTGTGTAAACCTTTGTAGCAAGATCAATCCTGCCCGCCAGACACATCCCCTGAATTGCAGCATTGTACAGAGATCCATTTGGTGCAGAAGACTAACAAAACAAAACAAAACAAAACAAACTTTAACATTACTAACGTAGTTGATCTTGCAAATGAGAACTACGGATGCGGGTGCAGGAAGAGGGGTAGAGGTAGACATACTAAGAGTTGGGGTGAGGTAATTAGATACCCCGTATGACTTATAGCTTCAAGAGCTAAAAAAAAATTTGACCTTAGATAGGAGAGCCTGAAGATTGAGGATTAGGGCGGTATGATAGGCTTTGGGCAGTGCTCTACCATTGTATAGGACTTGCTGCCTTTTGTTGTTGTATCCACATGTGTTTTTGTTTCCTTTGTGCTCCTCTTCTTCTTTTTTCCCCATTTACTTTTTCTTTTTCTTTTTACGTTATTTCTGTTCTTTTTGTTTTTAGACGGGATACTTGGAAAAAGCCTCCTACTCTCCACTTATGGGTAAGGTACACCGTACGTCAACCTTTCCAAGACCCCATATTGTGAGATTTTACTAGGTTTGTTGTTGTGCAACTTAAGTAGTTTGTATCTTGAAAATAAAATTTGATGGCTGCAGCACTTACAAAAGTTCCTGAATTCTTAATGAATAAAATTGTGTCATTTACTCTTTTGGTTGGGATGTTTTATACTCGATCTTTCTCTTTTCCGTGGTTTCTTTCCCCCTTATTGTTCTTTTCTTATTTAATTGTTTTAAAATGTTTTTAATGTTTTCTTGACCCAAGGATCTTTGAATAAAAGCCTCTCTAACTTAATAGGTAGGGATAAGGTCTATATACATCAAAAAATGAGTTTGATATCTATGAGAAAGAAAACTAGTATCAAAATACTTTGGTAGCATGCTGACGCTTACATTTAGTATCTTATCAACTTCATTCCAAAGGGAAGCCCAAATGCAGCTTCTCATCACAGACAGCAGAGTGAAAAGATCAGGAGAACAGTTTTGGTGAACCATGTGATTGTAAACTTGCAGGGCAGCCTTTGGCTTTCTGGCAGCCTCACAAGCACCAATGACAAGATTATATGAGGACGTAGAAACCGAACCACCAGAAGCCTCCATCTCCCATAGTAGTTGGACTGCTTTCTCCCATAATCCAAGTCTCTGGCAAGAGATCATAATTGTATTGTACATTTGAAAGTTTAGGATGTGGGGTTCCTGTTTCCTGATCTTCTCAAAACATTGAAGTGCATCACGATGACGACATGCCTGATTAAGAGCACAAAGAAGTGAGTTCCATGTGTATGCATCTGGCACATGACCCAGTGACTTCATGAGACCAAAAACCTTGAATGCAAGCTTAGGTTTCCCAGCTTTACCGAGTGAGTTAATCACTGCATTGCATGATTTTGCGTTTGGTTTCAGGCCACCATTCAACATACTTTGAAAGACAGAAAATGCCATATCGAAATCCCCCTCCTTCATACATGCTCCAATCATTGCTTGCAACACATCATCTCCCGGTGTTAACCCGTTCTGAACCATCTCACTATACGCATTGAGAGCTAGCTCATACTTACCACAACGGACAAATAAGCATATTAGTATGCTATACGTGACTGTTGTCCCTATAAGGCTTTTGTTTTGCAAAATTCTCCAAAATTTCTCAGCCTGAGCCCAATTGTTTAGTTTTCCAAAGGCTGATATCATTGTGTTATAGACAATGACATCAAATGTGTTACTAGCACAATCATTTTTGCATAATTCTTCAAACATTTTTAACGCAGCATCACTCCCCCTATCTTCAGCAATTGCCTTAAGAATTAAACTGTACGTGTGAGGAGTGGCCATCTTACCTTCCTTCAAGAATTCAAAGACCTCCAAAGCATCATCAAGCATTCCATTCCTCAAGATGCAGGAAAGAAGGGAATTGCAGGCATGTAAACTAGGCTTGAGACCTGTAAACATCATTGACTTATAAAGTGATAGTGCAGCCCTAACCTTGTTTGATCGGCTAAGTTTCAAGATCCTTTTCGATAATATCTCTTCATTTCTTTCATCCAAGTAATATACCCCACTTTCACTTAGATTAGCAGCCCCATCACGAGCATACACTTCTGCACATACTGAACTCCTAAAAGGAAGCAAATTTTGCTCAAAAGGGTCTTGATGCCATACCTGTTTTTCATTATTATCAGGAGCGCACCCCTCTTCACAGAGTGAGTCAAATTCAACACATACAGCATTACATTCTTTGAACCTAATTACACATTTCACACTCAGAATCCCTAACAGGCCGTTAGAAACAGGCATTTCAAGGCCAGTGATTCTCAATTTCGACCTCTTTTTGGGTCTGGAAGCAACAAGAGAAACTCCATTACTAACAACCACTTTACTTGTGAGGCAATCCTTCGGATACAGGAGTGGGGTACAGTTCTTATAACCATGTAACACAAAAGGATACCTAAGTGATTCTACCATATTCTATGAAGAAAACACAAGCCAAACCTGCGGATAAATAGCGTGTTGACGGGAGATTTGTCTGGATTCCGACGGAGATAGCACATGCGATGTTGGCTCGAGGAATTTCCCAATTGAAGAATGGGATGGCTATCAGAGCCCTTAGAGCATCACTGGGGAGGAAATAAGGGGGGAATAAGATGTGGCCGGTGGGAGGAGAAATGAGAGAAATTGATTATAGTGATGGAGGAATAGAAGAGAAAAGATTAGAGAGGAACATTTTTATTGGTGTATTACATTTTTAATTCTTTTTTGTTTTGTTCATCAATAAAAAGATAACATGTAAAAAAGGATGCTGAGAAAGAATAGAGGGTGATAGAGTGTGATGAGAAAAATTGAAAAGGATAGTAATTGGATATTGAGAATGGATGGTGTGTGAAATACGGAGTAATACTATAATACAATGCAATAAATAGTGATGTTCTTACACGTCATCTGTCTCATTTAATACTTACTCCGTCCTTCAGTTTTTGTCCACTTTTGACTTTTGGAACTGTTCATCTAAGTATTTTGACTCATCAAATTCTCTCAATGTGTAAGCCTAAATATAGTCATGTGTGAATTGGATGGTGTGTAAAAATGAAAGTGAACAAATACTCTGGGACGGATGGAGTATATTCTACCTAATTTCATTAAGGATATTTTAGTAAGTTTTTATTTTTTTTCTCTACTCTCTTTAAAAACTAGAAAAAATCAACTTAGAAAGATCTAATATATACAAAGAGAGTATTTGGGAGTAGTACATCTTCACCCATCCATTCGTTAACTCAACTCATCCATCATTCATTATATACATCATTTATCATTCGATCAATTCACTATTCGTAGATGAAAGAAGTGAAAAGTGGTGATTTTAGTAAATGATTTTTGGATATTAATTTTATAAAGTAAAAAATTTATAAAGCATGTAACTTAGAGAACATCTTATAATGAAACATTGGAACCTTGCCAGAAATAATATATTCTAAGTTAGAGACAAGATTTTTTTTATAAATTGAAATATTGGACAAAAAACCAAATTTAAAATAAATATAAATAGTTCGTGATAGGTCAGGTGATGGGTTGTGTGAGTATGTGAGCTATCATCTATCCATCCATCATCCTTTTTTTGAATTTTCATCCATTTTATCAAGTCGTGTGGTTCAGTTATCTAACCGGGCGGATAGAAATTGTTATCCCTAACTAGGGGTGTGCATTATTCGGTCCGGGTCCGGACCCGGACCGACCCGAAACTGGCCAAAACTGGACCGGACCGGTCCTTATACGGTCCGGTCTCTAGTCCTCATTTTTTCCTTATTCGGGTTCCAATCCGGTCCGCTCCAGTCCATCGGGTTTCGGTCCGGACTGGTGGACCGGTTAGATTTAATTTTTTTAAAATATTTTTTTCTATATAAGTTTATAATATTGTATTTTTTTTAAGGTTTTTTATTATACTTAAAGTTAGTTTAACTTTAATGCTAAATTTTTTTTAAATGTTTTGATTTTATTATTTAATATAATTTTTTAAATACATTTGAATTCAAAATAAGATACCAATTGTAATGCTTTTTAAATATTTCTAATATTAAAAGTGTGAAAAAGTAAACATTACCTTTATATTAGCGATCTCATGCATTTCAAATTTATGTACTAATACTATAACTTAAATTTGTACTTTATCAATAATAAAACTCTAATCCGTAGAACAAATATTGTAAACAATCTCATGAACAAAAATAGTAAAAAATGTATCTGTTTGTCAAAATAAATTGAAAACTCAAAAAAATATTACAAAAAAACAAAAATGTACTAAGAAGAAGAATATTCCCCATGCAAAATAAAAATTATGAACAAATTTTATGTAATACGGATGGAAGATATATATTTTATTTAATTTTTTTCAAAAAAATTCAAAACAATTCTGTTTGATAATGTTTAGTGTATGTTACAATTAAAAATTAGTTGTAGTAATATTTTTATTCAATTGAATACTTTAAATTAAATGAATAAAATCAAATTTAAAAAAAATTAAAAGTAAGATTTATTCGGTCCGGTCCCGATCCGGTCGGGTTTTACCGGGCCGGTTCTTAGCTTAATCGGTCCGGTCCTCGGTCCACCAAATGCCCCTTATTCGGTCCCGGTCCGGTCCCGGTCCAGGCCGGTCCGGTCCGGGTTTGACCCGATGAACACCCCTATCCCTAACAGAGTAGCATACTAACCTGAGTAGCCTCCCAAGAATAAAAGAGGTTGTCAGGGTAGATAATACAATTTGTTTAGCCTCTTTTAATAAGGATGGCAATGTTTACCCAGCTCGTTAGATAACTAACTATTCGATTTGATTTAACAGATGAAAATTGAAAAAGAAAAGGATGATAAATTGGGTTGGATGCGGGTGGAGATTTTTCTCACCCATCACCTGATCATTTAATATTTATTTTAAAAAAAATACTCCCTCCCTTCTAACACTTTTTTTCTAGTTAATATATTCACATGTTCAAATTTTAATAAATCTTTTTTTATCTATTTTTGTTAGTTTTTCATAAAATAAACTTTACACTTATAATCATATAAATTAAATTGAAAATAACTTTAGTCAAATCTTCTAATGTGAAACGCAAAGAGAATTTTAGGGAGAAAGGAGTATTAAATTAGAAACGGTAGCTTTGTTTGGAATCTTTCTTAGAAATCCTAGTGGATCGAATTGAACCCATCTATACTATATACAAAAGCAAAAGAAATCAAGCTTTAAAAAAAATAAAAAAAAATATATCAAGATGTTTCCCCGTCCAATGGGTCTTGAAATAACAACCATTGATTTGTCATCGGTGAGTAATCAAGGGCTGAGAATTTAGCATTCGAAATGCATAAGTTATTAATGCCATAATTAATTAGGAGTATGCAATTAATGTTGTGTCGGTGTGTAATCAGTGCCCATTTCACACTATTATTTTGTTTGTATATGAATATGAATATCCGTATAAAGGATGGCATTATTGCCACTTTTTTAAATTAGAAATCAATTTTTTTTTACATTTATAATATTCCGTAAAAGTTGACAGTATTGCTCTTTTATTAGAAATGTATATATTTATTTGTATACTACATTGGAAAGTAAAAGAATATTACGGAGTATTAAGGAAGTGAACAAAAGAGAAATGAAAAAAAAAAGATGTTATCCCACCCAAACATAAAATTCCATGGAATTTATTGTGCTAAATTTATCTAGCCGTCTTTTTAGCACAATCTATATATTTATCTGGCCGTGTATGTATAACGGCACAGATTGAGCACAATCAATTAGCACATGTCCATTTTGCATGTCAGTTGATTTTTTTTATTTCTGTAAAAAAACTACGGTTCTGATCACCGTATATTAAATGTGAGTGGTGGGATTGTGGAACTGCTCGCCGTGCATTTTCTGGAACAATCTGTTGAAATCTGAAACGTCATATTCAAATTAATTAAATGCCTTAGTATGCCAATTAAAAAATAGCCCCTAAACACGGAAAGGGATTATAAAGAAAATTCCTAGACAACAAAACGATTCTCCACATAATTATACTCCATTAGTAGTATTCAAATTTTTTTGTTACAAACAATATATATATTGTATACGTTCATTGTACAATTTAAATATTGGCAAAATTTGCTCTGTTGTGTAATCAATCATTTAACGCATTTCAATATTATGA